CGACGGGAAAAGTAAGAATCTAGCCTGTCTATTCGACCCCTAGATAAATCCGCGCCGTACAACGAATAGTTTTATTATCGGTAGGCAAATTTTCATGGAAGTGATTGCAAGTCGGAAAATCGAGTCGTCCCGGCTATCCCGAATTCGACGATTCTCTCATTTATCCAACCGATGGATTCACCAACGCACGCGTATCAAACAAAAAAAGAAGAAAAAAAAAACAAAATCTCGACACAACAACGTACATTCTCTCGCCGTTTTTCGATTATCAAATATTTAAGTCGCGCGATCGAGATGAGATATTATGGGGGACAATGTGGTGATTTAAATGTTCAAGCAAATACATTGCTCAGTTGTCGATGACGCGTGAAAAGAGAAGGAGCGAACGATTGCGCTCGAAGGAATAATTTAGCGCGCAACGTTAACGACTACTTAGTCGCTGTCAAAGCACGATAAAACAATGTTTAATGCGCGGCGGGAAAACTCGCTAATATCCGTAATAATAGATGAAGCGAATTGTCTTTGACGGGAGCAGGGGGGTTTGAGTGGAGTTTAAGGGAAAATGGTAACCCACGAGGATAGTGTCATAATTGCTATTGGGGGCCGAATAGAGGGAGAGTTATACGGCAAAGCGTCACTTACCTCATGACATTGGTGCAGAATCCACGACAGGGCATGACATCGTGCGGGACGTCCCTGCATTTTGGACAGTGAGTCATCCTTAAAAGAGCCTTGTAGCAAGCCTCCTGCTGGACACTCGTGCCAGAGAACAGCAGTCCGTCCGTTTTCTCGAGGACGCTTTTACCGAGGGTCAAGGCCTGTATGAGGACCCTCGTCGCCTCGAGGCTCTTGCCGAGCGAATGGCCGATCTGCTTGGGTATGTCACCGAAGGGCTCGATCTCGTCCATCGTCTTGTACAGGCAGTTTTTGAACTTCTCGGTGAAGTCCTGCTGGCCCTGCATCGGGTTCACCGCTCGATGATAGGCGATCGGGAAGAGCCGCGTAAAGAACTCGGCGAATCGTTCGTGCAGCATCTCCTGGCTCAAGGGCTGCTGGAGGCTCTCGGCCGTGTTCGAGGCCGAGACGTAGTCCACCATCGCCTGGTATAAGCCGGCGATGGAGGGCTTGCTCTGGGCTGCCATTGCCCGGTACACCTGGTTGAACAGCATGAGCGTCTTGTTTTCCGACTGACGTGCCAAAATCGTCACCGTCTCTGCAATCACAAATTACCGCCAAAAATTACCGAGATTACCGAGTGGTCCTGGTAAGGTTCGCGACGCATCCTCGCCAAAGGGATTGTTTGTACTCGAGGAGGGATTTTTCTTTATTATGTTAGCCGTTAGCCGCCAATAACTTAATAGACAATCATTGATAACTTTTTATTCATACTTGGAATTTGATGATTATCGAGGAACTTTGTAGACTAATCTGGGAGAATTCGACATTCTTTGTTGATAGAAAAGAAAAAACAGTGAGATAAAACCGGAGGAGACGTGCGCTTAGCCGTTACGAACTCGTCGACGATCTCCGTTTGCACAACCAGAGCGTGTAAGCAAATCTCGCTAGGCTGCATGGCATTAGCTATAACGAGAGAGAGAGAGAGAGAGAGAGAGAGCGAGAGAGAGCGAGAGAGAGAGAGAGCGAGAGAGAGAGCGAGAGAGAGAGAGAGAGAGAGAGAGAAAGAGAGAGAGAGAGAAAGAGTGTGCGTAAAAATAAAAAATAAAAAAATTAGAAAAAACTCAAGCAAAACAAAAATGAAAAAAACTTTAAAAATAGGAGCATGAGATTGTCCGCTCGAAAATAGTGCCCTGAAATAAAAGAAAATTTACGGCAACCGGATGAGACTCATTGACCGCTAATTATCAATTAACCGATTTTTTTCTTCTTTTTCATTTTTCATTCGAGTTAACCGCAATTGGCGCTGTCAAAAGTCCCCGAGTCTTTTCACTTTAGCGTAATACTACCTTTTCTATACTTGCAACTTCGTCGAATAATTTTATTATGATAATCTTCATTCGATCGAATGCGCGCTCGCTCAAAGTAAACGGCGCCGGTACTATTATCATCGTAATAACGGCCGTAATTCTCGCGGCAATTCCACATTGATGAAAATTATAAACATTATTTAAAATCAATACTGCTACTTGCAAAACCAACTACGAACGTACGAACTAAGAAAAAATTCATTAGTTGACTACGCTAAAACGAAATTTCCATCCGCTTCACCTGTCCTACCCTAAATGATCCAGCCCGACTATTATTAGATAGAAGATCTCTTATTTCCAATATCACTAGTATCCTCGATGTAGCATTGACAACGAAGTGAAATGAAATGAAGGGAAGGCGGGCTAAAGAGGAGGGAGGAATTAATCGCCGCGTCGCACTTAACGACGTCGCCAAGCAAATGACCGAAACACACATCGAAGAATCGCAACGTCGCATTCCCTTCGATACTAATTTAGAACGTAGACGTGCGTCGAATAAAGAATTCCAGAGGCCCCGGCACCTATTTCTATTTCGAGTGGCCAAGCAGCCTATCGGCGTGTCGTCGCTGCGTCTCCGTCAATTATCTTTGAGCATTGGGCGCGCGAGAGGGAAGCCACCACCGCGAGCCTGGACGGGTGGTCGCGCGCGCCTTTCTGTCTGTATGTATGGGCTGGGACGGCGGGGAGTGACATAGAGGAGGAAGGGAGTTGAATTGGTTTGTTTTCCGGGCGACGATTACGGGACGCTCCTGGATCATATGGGCGCCGATCCACCCACTCGAGAGAGATTCTTGACCAATGTGCGCGCGACTTGAAATACGCGTACCAAGATATGCACGCGCTCGCGCTTTAATTGACTCCGACGTTCGTTGAGTATTTGCATTTTATGGATCTTGAGATTCATGGGACCCATTGTGGCAATTATTGGCAAATGTGGTGTAAAGATAGCGCGGCGAAATCTTATGATTTACGCTTTATTTCGGGCGGTAATACCGATCGGGTCGCTGCGTACGAGAGCAGAAGAAGATTCCAGTAATATGCGCGTCCGCGTAAACATCCCGCGCAAAGCTCCATAAAAAATGGTATTTATCATCGCCTATGTAGCTTGACCGCAGATTTATTAAGACGTTTGAAAATAAACAACAACAACAACAACAACAACAACAACAGTAACAACTACAAACGACTGATATTATTTTTCACTGTATTAATGACGCGTTCGCTGTGCCTACCGTTAATTGGAATAATATTATTTCACATTAATTGTGTAATTGCGTTTTATAAACTATTCGTTTAATTAAAATGAGATAAGAAGCGCACGAATTTATCCATCGAATGACGCTCAAAATTGATAGCACATTATAATCGGAGAATAATTAATAACTTATTTAATGTGATTAACATTTGCATTGAATTAACATTTTAAATTATTTCAAGGACGATTCGCTTAGGAAGAAAAACACGTTGATAACTACTCATCGTTGACTATTAAATAATATCGATTTCTTTCTCCATTGTGTCTCGCGCTATTCTCCCTAATTATAATGAGACTAACCTAGAATTATGAAAATACTCAACCCGCTACTCGCGTACTTACCTATGTCTCCTGACAAATCTATTATTCAGAATTATTCGTTCGACTATCATTATTAAGCGTAATTAATAATAAGGTTCGATTATCCTTAGCATTTGTAGAAATTGCGTTACACGTAATAAGTTTTCGCTCGCTTAAAATATAATATTATAAGCGGATAATATTCTCCGAGACTTATCATTGGAGCAATAATGTTTTGCATATTTACAAAAAAGCCACACTTTTCCATAAAAATTCTCGGTATCGTGTTCAATATAATTTTAATGATGCGCCACGATGAAAATGTATATTATTATTCGAAAGTGATTGAATGTGTGAATCATTGTATCGCCAAGTAATTTATTATTTTGCTCGTTTTTCGTTGGATCAATTGCGCGAAATTAAAAGATAATCGACGATCATCGTCCCTCTACATTAACATTCCACTCCATTTTATCAATTTTTCAGAACGATTTTTTTTCATACACTATGGTAAAGCCATTTAGTCAAGAGCCAATGAAAAATTAAAGAAAAAGAAATCCATTTCCATTTAAGATGTTAAGAGACAGTGCGCTACTAACATTATCAATAAAGTGTATGAGCATTAATAATGCACGTTCCGTAAGGAGCGAGATAACGTTTTTACAGCAATATAATAATATTTCAAGGACGATGCAATTTTCTAATTTATCGATTAAGTAATTAGATTGATCAAGTTCTCAATAATGCAAGCTATTGTTACCATTCTTTAGAATGACAAAGAGCCCGTAAATTTCAAAAGCATTACAAATTCGACTGACTTTAATTCATAAAATACGAAAGAATTGAAAGAATTCGCAACACCGAGGAATGAAATAAAGAATTTTAAAAAGTAGATAATATAGAGAGAGAGCGAGAGAGCGAGAGAGAGAGAGAGAGAGAGAGAGAGAGAGAGAAAGAGAAGTGAGCAGAACAGAGCAAAGCAGAGCAGAGGAGAGAAGTCAACGAGCCGCTGAATGGGCCATTGTTGAAAGAATCATCTTTTGTAATCGGTGCCGATAATCAGTTCATGCACGTACGTACGTCATGCGATCTTGAGATTCCGCAGCGTCTTTTGATTGAGCATAAATAAAGTCTCGAGATCTCTCACGAAAAGCCAATTTTAAATGCATTAAATGCCATAGAGATGAAAAGCAGCTTGAAAGTGTTTTTTCTAGCAATGGATGATTTTATAAAGCCTTTAAAGCGAGAACACGGGCGTCTATATATGATTGATGGGGGGGGGGGGGGTGGGGGGGGGGGGGGAGGCAGAGCATAATAGAAAAGCACTTACCACCCAAAATCTATAAATCAGCGAGCAAAAAGAGAAGTAAAACAGGAATGGAAGCTCGGCTGAATAAAAGAACGTGGCGAGACATTACAGGATTTGAGCATTATTCATTATACGCGAGGGACAAAATAAAAGCTCGGTAATCAGCTTAATGAAGGGCGCGGGTAATTAAAAAATTAATTAAATAACTGTCATTGCCGGGGGTAAAATTTCGACAAATCATCTCAATTCATTACACGCTATTTCCATCAAAGACTTCACGGCCCGAGCTCATCGCAAATCCCGACGATGAACCCGTGCGCGCGGCCCTCTTGCAACGAGCAGCGGTGGAGGTGGCGGCGGTGGCGGCTGTGGCGGCAGTCGCGGCGGCGGCAGCGACTGCGTGCGATCGCCGGCCCGAATTCCTCGGTTCATCGATTCTCACTGGAAAGGGCGACTCTCCGCCGTGGCTGAGAGACCGAGAGAGTGATAGGGGAGCGCTTGGGACGAGAAGGCCAGTTGCGTGTGCGTGTGTGTTTTGCGCGCGCGCGCGAGATAGAGAGAGAGAGAGAGAGAGAGAGAGAGAGAGAGAGAGAGAGAGTGAGAGTGAGTTGAGTGAGAAAGAGAGCGAGTGTGAGATACGCCGCTCAAGGACGCCTCGATCCTAAGTGCCCCAATCAAGCCCTATCGAGCGTCCGATTAGTTTCCACTCCCTCGGATCTCACAATTTATATCGGCGACTTAATTAAATCGCGGCGGTGGCGGCGGCATCGCTGGATTCCAAGATACAAAGAGCGTGGGGCGAGGAGGGACGGGAAACTTTTTAAAATTGGTACGCGAGACCAGTTTTATTTACGCTTCGTTTGCATTCACGTCGCGCATTTGGAAATTGTATGACGCGATTTTCCGCGATTCCGTCATCTACTTTTTAGCTGTCCAGAACGGAATGCAGAACCTAACTACAAAATCCATCGAAAGCCCTTGGCTAAGCGTTTTTTTACTCTTCAGCGGATAATCGAGGCGATTTTACGTGTTCCTAAGGTAGTTGCGCCATTGCTTGTGTTGACAATGGTTGTGGCGAATGGGCGACCGATGGTATTACGCAAGCGGATATGTTCGCGTCTCTGTCGTGCGCAATCTCGAAACTCGAGTTTTCTCAAGATTACTCATCGTTCCTCTCGCTTAATTGGCTTTTCATATTATCGAGGGCGCATTGGAATAAGGGCATGAACGGGCTGTCGTGCCCACTCGGCGCTCCCGATTCGATCCGTCCTTTTTAGCATTTATGTGTGTAAGAGATGGACCGCCCACCCTACTGAACCAGAAAATGTGAGTTTTTTGGTGCCGATTGGAATAATAGATAGGGT